CTCACTTCCAGAAGCATTTACATCTAAATGTACTTAAGGTATTAAAAGTAAAATTCTAAATATGCTGAAAACTGCCCCCTCTGGATGTTTTAACATTATATATTTATTAATATACTTATTAATAGTGATGCTAAAAACAGACAGCAGCCACCACAGACCTGCAGCAGTGCTAGAGTCAAAGTCTGTCTCAAGTCCAGGCGTGTGCGACAGAAAGATTTCTGTGAACACTTTCTCATTCTGGCCTGATACTCCAGCAGTGTTATTCACAGGTGTAGCATCAACCGGAGAGGATGGACTAATCTCATGGTTGGAGACCACTGGTTTACACAAACAGGGCTTGTGACCAGAGCATTGCGGTTCCAGTTTCCCTGTTTCCAGGTGGTGACAGGTGGGAGGAAACTGAGAGCAAACGTCTCTCACTTCTCAACAGCAGCCGTAGAAGTGCTCTTAAGCAAGATACTTAAACCTCACTGCATTCAGTGCTCTAGGCGTATGAGTGAATATGTATACTATATATAGGCCTGTTGATGCCAGTTTCTGCAGCTGTGTGACATTAGAGAAAAGAAATCAGTGGGCTATGTACAGTATGCTAAGCAAATGTCCCCTAAATGTTCATTAATAGGAAATGTGGCCAAATTAGAAGTCACACAATTTACTGAAATAAGGTTGAATGATGACGCACATAATAAACTATAGATTTTCATGGCTGATGTTACTGTATGCAAGGTGGATGCCTGTCCTGAATCCACAATGTTGAGTGCATCAGCCAGATGCAGACAGATGACTTGGATCTGCCTCCATTTGGTGAGACCCTTGATAACAGGTGACATACTAGACAAAGACAGACAGACCTTACCAATCCTGACTTTGATCCCTGTAACTTTTCCCCTGTACATATGTAGTTTTTAACCAGGTGTCAGGCAGCAACATAAAGCTTGCGATGTTACTTGAAGTGGCATTATCTGAATAACAATACCGATGGATTTGCAGTCAGTCTGTCAGAAAGCTTGAGAACTGAAGGATTTTGATGTGCCATATGCTGTTCTTTGCACAATAATATATATGTGTTCTAAGGAATGGATCTGCAGTGGAGCAGCTTCTGAGGAAACAGGTAGTTATTGCATGACATGACATGAATCACCCCTTTAACAACTGCTACATGAGAAAAATTTTGAATAGGTTTTGAAAACTAGTTAAAAAAAAAATAGTTTTTGCTTCACTAGTGTTGAAGCTTCAGAAATGGCAATGTTGGTTTGTTGGTCCTCCACTTTTTCCAGACAGAGATACTGTATCTCAGTAACTTGAGATTTGAGACTTGATGGTGAACGCAGCAGACATTACCTGCTTAATAGTAGCATGTTAGCATTGACATTGTAAACTTGTTAGCATGCTGCCATTAGCATTTAGCTCAACGTTCTGATGTGTTTAACTTGCTAAAACCTTAAAAAGCATGGCTGTAGATTCTTGGTCTTATTATTTCAAAATTTACATAAAAAACTGTTAATTTTGCAAGAATTATAGAAGGTCAAGGTTTTCTAGTTTGCACAATCACAGCAGGGCAAAACGAGTAGCATCCAGCAGCATCGACTTTAAAGGCAATTCCAAGTCAGTTGATTTCAGCTGATTGACAACATCTCATTCTCACTGTCTCTGATATATACCCTGCCTCCTACTTAATCTTCAGTGTGCTAAAAGCATTTTCATTTAGTCATGACTCACCCCTCACAGCAAATTGACTGTAAACTCAATTTAGTTTGTGTTATCTGTGATGGGTGAGAATCACATTAAACCATGAACATTTTTCTCCTCTTACATCAATATTCATTGCTTTAATTTTTACTTGGGCAAGCCAAATGGGCACATACAATAACATATCATGCACTTTACATGGTACAATTACCTAGCACCTCATGATACATATAATCTATTTTTATGAACAGCTATTACATAGGAGCCTATACTGTATACCACATGATGAGGATCATGCACCCTAAGTAGAAACTTTGTGATTCTCATGCCATTTGGCTTACAGATTGTAGTACTGAGGGTTTTATCTCAACTTTTCAGAACCTTAGGGCACCGTGTGTTGAGACAGTTCCCTACAT